AAGCAGATTATTTCAGGCAAGGTCACCTTCCCTTAGGGGAAGACAGGGGGTCTTATGAGGCAGATTATCTCACCAGTGTTGATCAGGAAATTCCAGATTGATTGGTTTAAAGCTTTCACTCCTGGGAGAGGGTGAAACTGCCATTAGGTTAGGCATTAGCTCTTGGTGGGGCTTAGCATAAGTGACTCCATTTGGGGTCAGTTGTTTCTTTCTAACACTCTCTAAGGTGCATATGTTACCCTACCCCAGCTGACCAGTTAATCAGGAGATCCTACAATCAGGTGGGGGGTGATGGGAGAAGATGGTAGGTTTTATTCAGCTCTCAGCACAGTGACTGGATCCCAAGGGCAATGTTGCATTGGAGGCCAGTTGTGTACCCACTCTGTGCCTCATTTCTCCCATCTTAAAGTATGGATAGAAGTAAGTGGTATCTTCAAGAGAGATAGAAATAATAATACAGGTCTTATGGAATTGTTTGAAAATGAAATGAAAAAATGTATAAACACTAAAGCTATATACATAAAAAGGCTGACAGATTAGAAAGTTCCTCCATGTTTTTTCCTCTCAAATATTCCCACACTGAAATATCTTAGTGGGAAAAAAAAATGGTGCCATATTTTTTATTAACATTTTTCTTCTTAGTAAAATAGATTTTCTAAGTTTGAAAAATATTTTTATATATCAAATAAACTTCAGTAAGGCAACTCCTAACTTATTAACAAAATTCCTAACTTCATTCATTCATGCAAAAAGTTCATATTCGTTGAACTTCTGCCATGTGCCAAGAATAATACCAGGGGCTTAGGATAAAGTGGTTAGAAAAAAATAGTTGTTGTTGTTGTTTCTTCCTCAGACAGTCCCTAAACTGTTTACAGCCTAGCAGAGGGATACAGGTGTTAATAAAAGAACATCAAAAAAAAGTGTAAAATAAAGTCTTATTAGAGCCTACAAGAAAGAGATTTAGTCTGATCAGGGAAAAAGTCCTTGGTGAAGTGAAATCTTTGATCTGAGATTTGTAGGGTAAGTAGGATGTTAACCAGATCAAATGAAGAAGGGAAGAATTTTCCATGCAAAGAAAGCAGCGCTGGACAGTACTCTGTTGAAAAGGGTCTGAGCATGTCTAAGGGACAGGTAAATGAGTCAGGAGTGGGGAAAGTCAGGACCAAAGGGTATGGGATGAAGCTGGAAAGGGAGGTAGGGAGTTTTTTTCCTTAGAGCAATAGAAAGCCATTGAGTTTAAACAGGGAGATGACATGATTGAATCTGTGTTTTGAAAAGAAAGGCTAGACGACACAATACAAGAAAAAAATGTATAAAATTTGAAAAGAAAGAGAAAAAATTGGCATTAGTTACTGGTGATAACATAAAGACTACTTAAAAACCCAAGAGAATCAGTAGACCAAGTATTAAATAAGAGAGTTCAGAAAGTGTGCCGAGTCAGGATCAAGAGACAAAGATCAATAGCTTTCCTCCATAACAGCAATAACAAACTGATAATAGAAAAGAAAATATAATTTAAAATCACTTCAAAAACGACAAACTATTAGGAACTTATTAAAGAATGTTGCTATTAAAATGTAAGCTTCTGCTTCAAGAGTACGTCTTGTTTGCTCTGTCTCTCAGTGCCCAGCACACTGCATGGGACATAACAGATGGTCAATAAATATTTGTTGAACGGTTGAAAGAATAAATGCACAAAGCTTCATGGAGAAGATTGCATTACTCTATGAAAGAACACAAAAAATCTGAATCAGTATAAATAGATAGCTTGCTCAGGGATGTACACTATTAAGAGTGTGTGATTAATATTGAAAAACTGTCAGTTATTCTTCGATAATTTTATAAATTTAACCAAAAATAATGAAAAATTAGCAGTCTTTTGGAGGAACTTGGAAAACCTTGAATTATGCGTCTAAATAACATGCTCACTCTGCTTTTGCTCGATAATCAACTTTATCAAGACAGTGGCTGTGGACTCCCTGCTCTGCGTGATTAGCATTCAACTCACCATATTTGACGTTCCTTTCTTTCTCCCGCTACAAATTTTATTATTTACTGTAACTTTAAACAATATATTTTTACTTCCACTTTTTGTTGCTCCAACTTGATCACTGCAGACCCTCATTTCTGTAAGGGGACACTAGGCCCTTCTGGGTTCTACCTTCCCTCCCTTCATATGCTTTTCCCACTGTATCTCAGCTATAACGACTGCAGCACTGTTACATTTAATTCTGTTTTATAATCAAAGTCAGTCCTCTATGCTTTCTCTAAAGGTTTGTTTAAATAAATTATAATCAGTTCATGGAATGGTGCCTGGAATAGAACTCATGAGTGAGTAAAAGCAAAAATCCAGGGCCAGCCCTGGTGGCCTAGTGGTTAAGTTCAGTGCACTCCACTTTAGTGGCCTGGGTTCAGTTCCCGGTGTGGACCTACACAGCTCTGTTAGCAGCCTTGCTGTGCTGGTGGCCCACATACTAACAAATAGAGGAAAATTGGCACAGATGTTAGCTCAGGGTGACACTTCCTCAGCAAAAAAATAAATAAAATTGAAAATGTTTGCTTTTTTTTTTTTTTTTTTGAGGAAGATTAGCCCTGAGCTAACATCTGTGCCCATCTTCCTCTACTCTATATGTGGGACTCCTGCTATAGCATGGCTTGATAAGCAGTGCATAAGTCCCTGCCCTGGATCCGAACGGGTAAACCCCAGGCTGCAGATGTAGAACGTGCAAACTTAATCGCTGTGCCACCGGGCGGACCCCTACATCTTTTAATAATGAAACTGTTGCTAAGGATTATAGTTCCTTCATTACGAGTCCAAAATGATTCCTGTATCACTCAAACAAGGATGTTTCCATCAACAAAGTCAAATGGATTTTTCCTTTTTTCTTTTTTTTGAGGAAGATTAGCCCTGAGCTAACTACTGCCAATCCTCCTCCTTTTGCTGAGGAAGACTGGCCCTGAGCTAACTTCTGTGCCCACTTCCTCTACTTTATATGTGGGACGCCTACCACAGCATGACTTTTGCCAAGCGGTGCCGTGTCCTTACCTGGGACCCGAACCGGTGAACCCCGGGCCGCTGAGAAGCACAACATGAGAACTTAACTGCTGCACCACCAGGCCGGCCCCCCGATTTTTTCTTACTTCAAACAATTGTGTAATCTCATAACCATGTTTTCTTTTCTTGTACATCTTTTTACTTTTTCCCCCCTGAAATCTACTCATCATTTTTTTTTTAAAGATTTTATTTTTTTCCTTTTTCTCCCCAAAGTCCCCCAGTACATAGTTGTGGGTCCTTCTAGTTGTGGCATGTGGGATGCTGCCTCCGCGTGGTTTGATGAGCAGTGCCATGTCCGCACCTAGGATTTGCACCAACGAAACACTGGGCCGTCTGCAGTGGAGCACACAAACTTAACCACTCGGCCACGGGGCCAGCCCTACTCATCATTTTTATTGTTGATTAAAAACTTAAGTCTTTGCCATGTCCTCAAGTTTCTATAGTCTCTCAATCATAGTGTTCATTGCACGGAATCTCTCTTTTTTGGGAAAACTCTCTTTCTCAGACCTCTTGGTTACAATCTATGGAGGCTGCCCTCAAACCCTGAGGTTGTCCTGGGATTTGCTGCTTCCTCAGATGAGTCTACCATCTCCTGAATTGCTTGATTTTCTCCCTTGTTTTGTTAAAAGTATAACGTCAAGAATGGGTATATGGGAGTTAAACTTTGTGAATTCTCATGTGTAAGAAAATATTTAATCTGCCTATTGGCAAAGCTGGCTCAGTTGGAATCTTGAAATCCGGCCAATTAGATAAGTATTTCTTCTTTTTTTTTTAGTGAGATTAACCCTGAGCTAACATCTGCTGCCAATCCTCCTCTTTTTGCTGAGGAAGACTGGCCCAGAGCTAACATCTGTATCCATCTTCCTCTTCTTTATATGTGGGATGCTGCCACAGTGTGGCTTGACAAGAAGTGCATAAGTCCTCACCTGGGACCCGAACCGGTGAACCCTGTTCCACTGGAGCGGAACGCACAAACTCAACGACTGCACCACCAGACCAGCCCCTAGATAGGTATTTCTATAGTGGAGGAGTATGGGAGTAGGAGAGTTGGTGGTGTGGGTGTGTAAAGGAGAAGCCTGGAGATAGAGGAGAGTCCTCTTAGATGTCAATAATCATAAATTCTTGGTGTTAAGTACTGTATCTGTTCAACATTCTATCCCTCACAGTGCCTTATATAGTGGACACTCAATTATATCATTGCTCCTTAAAGTTGATGGCCAAGCTGGCAACAAATTTGCATACCTGTACTTCTGCCATTGTTTTATTTCTATTCCTATGATGTATTTATTTGAGTAGTAACTCCTGAAAAAAAAAGGAGAATTCTGGAAAATAAACTTCCCCCATGATTTTTCTCTTGACTTACTTGCTTCTAGGCACTCATACATGATGTCTGCGTTCACTAGGAGCCAACTCCTTAACAATCCAAGTCAATCCCGACTTTTCCCCTTCGCCTGCTGTCCCGCGTTCTCTCAGTCTCTCAGGTGAGCCACGTCTTACTCAGTCACATCCTATCCTTGTGTCTTGGATTCAATGCAGGTGTTGTTTTCTCTCTGCTACAATTTTGTCTCTTCTGTTCCAGCAGGGTGTCTAGTGACTAATTTGGGCAACCTCCCTTTTGGCCATATTGAGCTCTCCTCTTTTGGGGTGACATCCTGGCTTTTATACCATTCTTCCTAGGATATGACATAAAACTGAGCTAAAGTCATTATGAAATCATAATGTTCAATTGATAGCCATGGTTATCAGCATGGTTTGAAGCAGCTCAGTTAATATTCTTGCACACCAAGTAGAATATATATGTGTGTGTCTTTGTTTTTTTTTAATTTCCAGTGCTGGAAATGTCACTTGTCCGGGATCCCAGGGGCATCCCTACCAATTTTAAGAAAGAAAATTTTGGAGAATTCCAACCAGACCATGGAGTGCTTCAAACAAATGTCTTGTATCTGCCCAGCTAGCTCAGTTGGTAGAGCATGAGACTCTTAATCTCAGGGTTGTGGGTTCGATCCCCACGTTGGGCGTGACTTTTGTTCAGATCCTCTTACACGCAGCAGAGGTGACTGGGTCCATACAAACCAAGGAGAATCTGTTTCTGGTCCAGGGAGCCCGTCACACCGGAGCTGGCCTGGAATCTCACCACAGCAACTTGCTTTTGTCTCATTAATGTCTTATCATATATATTTTGTTATCAAAAAAATTGAAATTTGCATGAAAGTTCCAGATACAGTACAGAGAGTAGTCGGGAGCCTCTCTCAGTGGTTCTACTTCTAGGGACTTCCTTGAAATTCCCACAATCCGGGCAGGCGCTAACCAGGCCAAGAATATCGCCTAACATAGGACTGGAACCCAATACTTTAGCACTAAGGGCTGAACAAGAGCGACAATAGACAACTTGGAAGTGGATTTTCAGCTAAAGGTGGAATCACACTAACTCTGGCCCTGACTGGGGACCTATGCGGAGTCCCATCTGTGTCCATGGATGCTCCCCCCCCGCCGCAACCCCGACAGAAGCATCGCCTCCTCCAACAACTCTGCATCCTCACCTGTGCCCATCATAGCTTTCCTCCCTTGTAGGACAGAGACACGACAGGAAGGGAGCCCCTCATTGGGCCGTCCACCCCTGTCGCAGCCCCTCTCCCCTTTCTAAAGTAGAAAGAAAGTTGGAACTCATGGGATTCTGTCAGCAGGGTTTAGATGTCTCTGCTTCCCTGAGAAGTAAGCAATGAGGGAAGTGTGGGTTCCTTTCTGGGGATGGCGTGGGCAAGGTAGAAGGGTTGGTTAGCAACACTGGCCCTGAGACCCTGCATCAGTGAGTCATGAGGTCAGGTAGTCTGAGTTTCCAGGGGGCCATTCCTTTGGGTGCCCCTGCAGCTCTGGCACCCAGCTGCTCTGGATCTTGGCTCCATGCTGGAAAACTGAGGCTTCCCCATTTTGGGGTGTGGAAGGGGAGGGTTGGGGAGTGGGGAGGCACATTCAGGTCCCTCTTGGTGCCTGGGGGGAACTCCTACTCACCTAAAAGAGACTGTATTTGTTAGCGTTATCCAGAGAAACAGAAAATATGGAGGGAGAGAGATTTTAAGGAATTGGCTCACACAATTGTGGTTGCTGGAAAGTGAGAGCAGATTGGATCTTCCAGCAAGAGTCCATCTTGATGTTGTAGTCTTGACTCCGAGGGCAATCAGAGGTGGAATTCCTTCCTCTTCTAAATCTTTTACTTTTTACTCTGAAAGTAAACATCATTTTAAAAGATTCCAGCAAAGACTCAGATGCAAGCCTGTTTTATTCTCTACTAAACTTGTATAAACCCTATCTCATTCATCTTTTGTAAAGGCCTGATTGTAAGAGATTTAATGTGACGTTTAAAATTTTATTGAACATGCCAGAAATTGTTTTTAGAGTTTTTTTATTCCTTTTCCGTTGTAATTGACTCTTAAATGAGTTTTTTGTTTTGTTTCCAGAAACATGATGGAACTCAAAAGTTGTGGTGTATCATGGATGGCAAATTCTTTCCAGGGAAAGCATGAATCTAACAAGGCTGAAGGTACACCCTGCATTTGCTTGTCCCAAAAATGCACTGGGCATCTGGTGTCCTCTTTTTGAGAAGAAAAGAGCTTTCTTTGAAAAGATGACATATAATGATCAACAACAGCAGATTTCTCTTAGAAATTTGCTTTTGAACAAAATTAGTTTACTTTCTAATTTGTACAATTGGATTTATTTCTACTTTTACAGAAGTGATGATTTTTGCCCCCCAAATGTAATATAGGCACAATTTTGAAAAGTTTTTAAAAACTTTGTTATGAAATTTTTAAGGCAAACAAGTAAAGATGTAAAAAACGAAATTTTGTCTTTTGCCTGTGTTGGAGAGGAAGACATTTCCTCTGCCCACTCTAGGTCCTTCTGGCTGGGCTATGAATTAAATTCACATGAGACAGAATAACAGGAGAAAATTAAACAAAGCTTTATAACATGTATGCACGGGACAGACTCAGGAAAACTGAGCAACTCACCAAAATGGCAGAAACTCTCACCTTGAATACCATCCTCAGCTAAAGACAGAGGAAGATTCTGGGGGCGGGGGGGTGGGGGGGGGGTCAGTTATGGGAGATTGCCAGAAAAGTACAGTAAACAAGAGTAAGGTTATTATGCAGATTTAAATCATTGCCTTCCACATTGATAAGAGTTTCTAGAGATAAGGTCATCCTTCCTTCTCCTTGGTACAGAGAGGGAGACATCTTTACAGATGGAGATTTCCTTTAAAAATGTAAATGTCTCTAACAAAGGGTAACTTTTACTTTTCAGAGTTTTTCTCATGTGTGCAGTTTTTAAAAGTAACCAGCCCAAAATAATCCTCATGCCAGAGACATATCTTCGGGTGGTCAATTCCAATCCCCCACACATGTGTTTGCAAAAGTTGCTGGACTCAGTTCCAACGTATGTGTGTGTGTGTTTATGGAGGCTTCACCACACCAATGAACAATTCTCAGAGGCCAGCAGGATGCCTGTGTGAGGGATTGGAATTGGCCACCCCAAGATATGTCTCTTTGGCATGAGGATTATTTTGGGCTGGTTACTTTTAAAAACTGCACACATGAGGAAAAACTCTGAAAAGTAAAATTTACCCTTTGTTAGAGACATTTACATTTGTAAGAGAAATCTCCATCTGTAAAGGTGTCTCTCTCTCTGCACCAGGAAGAAGGGGGGATGACCTCATCTCTAAACACTCTTATCAATGTGGAAGGCAAAGACGTAAGTCTACATAATAATCTTACTCTTGTTTACTGTACTTTTCTGGTAATTTCCCATAACTGACTCCCTCCACCATGCACATCCTCCTTTGTAGCTAAAGATGGTATTTAAGATGAGAACCTCTGCCATTTTGGCGAGTTGCTCAGTTTTCCTGAGTTTCTCCCATGTATACCTGTTATAAAGCTTTGTTTAATTTTCTCCTGTTATTCTGTCTCATGTGAATTTAATTCACAGCCCAGTCAGAAGGACCTGGAGTGGGTAGAGGAAATGTCTTCCTTCCCTACATCTGAGAATTCAATTGAGTTCTGACATAATCTACCTGGAGATGGAAGGAGATTCCACAGGTAAAGAGCTCAGTCCCACAAGATCTCTCTGTACTTCAGAGATCAGTTGCAAGCACAGGTGTTATCTGTGCTTCTGACCGACTGACTTGAAGTCAAAGATTCCCATAACCCCCTTCTTGGGTTTGATTAATTTGCTAGAATGACTTACAGAACTCACTATAATACTGATTTATTACAAATGATATTAAAGGATATGGATCAACAGCCAGATGAGGAGATACATAGGGTGAGGTACCAAACAAAGGAGCTTCTGTCCTTGTGGAGCTTGGGACCCGGTAGCACCTGGGAGTATTCTGGCTCCCCAAAGTGGAAGTTCTCCAAAAAGGAGCCTGAGAACTCTTTTTGGGTTTTTATGGAGGCTTCATTAGGTAGTCATAATTGACTAAGTCATTGGCCATTGGCAATTGATTGTACCTCAAGTCCCCCTCCCCTCTCTGGAAATTAAGGGGTGGGACTGAAAGTTCTTATCCTGTGATCACATGGGTGCGTCTGCTGAGAACCAGCCCTCACCCTTGGGTGGGTTCCAAAAGTCACATTCATTGACATAACCAAATACCCATTTCACCTTTATGGCCCTGAAGCATTTTCAGAAACTGAGAACAGGAGGCCAAATATTATAACAAAAGATGTTCCCATTGCTCTTATTGCTCAGGAAATTCCAAGGATTTGGGAAACTGTGACCCAGAGACTGTGAATGAAGACCAAATATATGTGAGAAATACATTTTGGTCATCTGAATGACCAAGCATATATATATTTCTTAAAAATCACAATATCTCAGTATTCCACTAAGAATGTGCAGCAAAACTATTGCCTTTAAAGTCATTTGGTTCAAATCTTCCTTCATGTGCTTTTTGTCACTAACTTAACACAGGTTTTCTCATTTTAACAACTGTAAAACAATTGTTTGTTTTCATTTTTATTGGACTATTTTTTCTTTATTTAATTCAACTTTTTGAATATGTAAATCATTTTCATGATTCCAAAGTCAAACTATACAAGGTACACTGAAGGAAACCTTAATTGTATCCTTCTCTCCTCCATGTCTCTCTCTTCCTATAAGTTGTCGTTTCCTTTTTAGTTTTTCATTTATCCTTCTAACATTTTCTTTTTGCAAATATAAGAAAATGCACGGATCTATTTGAATTCCCCTCCTCTTTTACACAAAGGAGTAGTACACTTTGTTATCTACTTTGCTTTTTTCACTCAACAGCATGTCTTGACAATCATTTCAGGTCAAATCACTTCCTCCTATTTATGGCTGTATGGTCCTTCATTTTAAGGACGTACCTTATTCAGATAGTCCCCTATTTATAGCCAATTTGTTATTTCCAATATTTTGCTATTAATATGAGATAATGAATAACTTGATGCACATGAAACTTTGCATATTTTGTGATTAAGTAAAGAGAGTAGCAAGAGGTGCTACTGCCTACTGTTTGCTGAGTTATATTTGAAGGGTTTCAAAGGAATGTTGATTTTAGACAAAGCTTTGGTCATCCAAGGGATTTTCACTTTCATCTAATGTCTTTGGTGTTGTCTTTATCTCATTCATTACAACTCCTATCATCCAGATAATAGACCAAAAGGAATCTAAGGGAATTTTCAAATATAGTTTTGATTAAGTGATTTTGCCATACTTGCTGACTTTAGAGTCACCCTTGCTCTCATCCCAAAAAGAAATCACCCTAATGCATTAGTGGGAAATAGGTTGAGGATCAAGAAAGCCTGGTTGTTTGTTCTCTGTGCTTCAGGGTTTCCTCTCTTCTTTCTGCCATTCTGAAATTTGGATGGCCTGGTTATTCGGGAGTGACCAGTCCCAGAGGAAAACTTATAGACCCCCAAGCTTACCTGAGGATACTAATGTGCCCAGAAAGTAAATTTAGCCCTTTATGATGAGAGATATGATTGCTACTGCTGCTGCTAAT